CCGTGGGATGACATCAAGGGCATAACTCATGAAGAAAACAAAGTGTCATTAAAAGCAGGAAAGCAGGAAAAGATGAAAGTGAAGAGACTCAGAATCTCCCTCTTAATCATAGAGGAACTGAAGCAAATCGAAGAAACGATGAAGTCAAAGAGCTGAACAGAACCTTTCAAAGATCAAGTCGAGAAGACAACGTAAAATGTTACGACGGAATGCGAAACACCTAGATTTAGAAAGCCAAATATGAGGAGCACATTCAAACATCTCTCAAACTGAAAGAACTCAAGGAAAAAATTCAAGCCTTGAGTGGCAACACTGAATGAGTGTACAAGTAAATTATTGAAAGTTGCAGGAATCATCAAAGGAAGATGGACAGAATACATAGTTCCCATAATATTTAAAGATAATCATAGTCAATGACTCTATTTATACTGAAAGACAATTAGATGTAAAATTTAGCTGAATAAAACTGCAGCAGTTGCAATGTCATGATAGAAGTAACACCATTCTTATCATAAGATAGGATTTGTTTTTATTTTATGTTTCATAGAAAATGTTAGTAGACACTATGTTGTAAATACATTATTTCACTTATTCATATAAGGTAGATAAGGAACTCTATTAGTGCAGTGATGGAAGCTAGCAACTGGTACCATCTAGCTACGAACTGGAAAGTCAGTGGTTTGAATCCACCAGCCAATTCATGAGAGAAAGATATAACAGACTAATTTCATCTCTGTTGCACAAAACCTCTTTTTCAAAAATTTACTATTAAAAAAATTCTTCTATTAATTGGGAGTTAATACATATGTCATATAATTCTGTAGTTTAATCATGTCAAGCAGAATTGTACAACTGCTACCACAGTCAGTTTCCTAATATTCTTTTTTCTCCTGGACTCCATGACATCATCTCTGTTTTACTCCCTCTCCCAATCACCAACACTGTACCGTGCCCCCCCCCCCTTTTTTCTATTTGCTGTCCATACAGGTTCATCAATCCTGGCTTTCATATATTGCAATACAGAAAAAATATATAACACATCTTCAAGAGGGTTATCTTGAATGACATAAAACTTCTGAGATACACCCTAATATGGACAAACAAAAATATAGAAAATGCTGAAAACAAGATCTGGTCCAGCTTGCATCAGAGGGAGATCAACTGACAGCATTTTAACTGTTGAATGTGTTGAAGTGCAAGAGTGTCCCTTTGAGGACTGAGGTGTGTCTTACCAAGCTGTGGCATTGTGGATTGACCTGTAATTATATGAAAGTTAGAAATTGAATAAGCAAGACAGAAGAAAAATTGATGTGCTTGAACTAAGGTGTTGTCGAGGAATATTAAAAATACCATGAACTGTCAAAAGAACAAACAGAGATCTCTTGGAAGAAGTACAGCCAGAAAGCTCCTTAGAGGAAAGGATGATGGGACTTGTCCATTACTTTGGACATGGTGTCAGGATAAACTAGTCCCTCAAAAAGGACGTCGTGCTTGGTCAACTGGAAGGCAGTGAAAATCAAGAAGGACCACGACCAGATGGATGGACACAGTGGCTGCAAGAATGGACTCAAGCATAAGAATAAGTGTGAGGATGGAGCAGGACCAGCAGTGTTTCATAATTTTATACATAGAGTAGCTATTACTGAGAGCTACTTTGACTGCACTAACAACTACAGCAGGGTATTTTGCTACTTTCCTTGAACTGCATCTTTAGTTTTCTCACTGGGGCACGCATGTAAAGTGTCACAGATCGTCAGCAGGGGCACAAAAGCATCAAAACAAAACAAAATATTTTCAAGATGATTTAGACTTGATCAATTAATTACAAACTTCTTCATCAGGAAATATTACAAAAAAGAGGAGAAACCATGAGTTCTTCTTACCAAAGACACAGGAAAAGTTGACAGAAGGTTTTCCTGTGTTTAGTAACAGTAAGCAGGTATCACCTGTCTGTCATTTTGATTATCACTTGGATCTTGGTAATCCTCTATGACTCTTGAGTCCGATTGTAGATATTTATTACTCTCAGCTAAGCCCTTTCAAGTTCACCATAACCAGCCATCATGTTTTTTTGTTAATAAGGAGTCCCCGAGTCTTTATAAAGCAGGTTGTAATTCATTGATCATGTCTACATCAACTTAGAGATGTTTTGTTCAATGCTTTTATGCACCTGCTGCCTAGCTGAGACACTTTGCATACATACCCCTGTGAGTTGGAAAAGGTTCTTTCAATGCAGTTGTTGACTTAGACATGAATGCATGTAATATAAATATGACACACCCAATCTATGATTAGTTGTAAATAATTTTTAGAAGAACATTTCCAATCCAAATACTTGGGATTTTGTGGATAGTCCTGGATTAAGTTGCTCAGTTGTAATTTTTTCTCCATAGTCTATAGTTATGAGGAGCTCTAATAGCATAGTGAGTTATAAGTGGGGCTGCTAATTGAAAATTGAAAAATCAACAGTTCAAACTAACCACACTTTTTGTAGGAGGAAGATGAAGCTTAAAGTGACTTAATTATCCTAAAACTATGAATCAGAGTCTACTCAATGACAGCGGGTTTAAGTTCTTACTATTGGTCAATTGCATACAAAAGGATCTGTTTTTTTAAAAAAGAGCATTGCAAACGGATTGAATATACTAACAAATGCATTGGGTATATAGTCCAACTTACAAAACTGGGAAGACTTTCCTGCACCCCTAATAAATAGACTCGTGATATAGCCAAGTCTACATATTTGTGTATATTGTCTCATGAAATGATCATTAGCAAATATAAATTTATTAAAATGTGTTCATTAAAAGGGCCAGGTTATGTATATTTTCTTCCGTCGAAAATTAACAGGAAGAGTATAAGAATTTAGACATCTTCTAAAATGGTGTTAACTGGAATTGAACAGGAAATAGAGTGGGCAAACTATAATTTTAAAGAAAATACTGAGGATGGTAAAAATATAGGATTGGTAGTGAATTCTGTAATTATTTGCTTTATTTAGTATGTAGCATACTAGAGTAAAATCTCATGTGACAGATCTCATAATAATCAAATCTCACATGAACTTTTCAAAAGAGAACACACTTAGCATTTTGTATTTTGGCTGACTAGAAGTGTAAAAGAGAGACTGAGAAACATCAGAGAAGTTCCTTTACCAAGGAAGAAAATGAAGATGGCTTACCAATCTTTAACAAAAATTCCACCGCCATGCCTCAAACAAATAAAGAATGCCTTCTAACTGTTTCCAAAGCTGAACAAGCCTGTAGAACAGAATACGGATACTCCTTAGGGCTTCCAAGACTGTTAATCACTATGGTGGCAAACAGCTTCATCTTTGTCTTACAAAGCAGCTCCTAGGCTTAGTGTACAGCATCAGCAAGACAATAAACACCAGGAATGATAAATCTCTAGATTGTTTCTACTCTCCTGACTGTCCACCAAAACCTGCTGGAAGGTGTATTGGAGTTCAGCTGATTGAAACATTAAGTTTGAACGTTCTATAAATCATTACCTACCTAATTATTATGTAATTTAAACCTAAATGCTCCACTAATTCTAAATTTCCAATTCTGTATTTTATATCATTGAATATGTTGAATTCCCATTGCTATTGCAATATAAAATTATGCTTGCAGAATAATGCTGTAATTTAAAAATAATGCATTCACAAATATGAGAAGTAATAAAATTCACTGTTAAAATTCTGTCATTGGATGCCCATTCAAATACTGAGACATTTCATGACATATCTAGGAACAAATTTTGGCTTAATTCATCTAACCTCTCATTATGAAAAGTAAATCATATTCTGTTTGTTTTCCTTGATTTTGTTCATTTTAAACTCCTGCTTATAGGTATAGAAATACTACTTTTATCAAAAGTACATAATAAGTTTATCAGTCGTGGTGAAGAGTCATGGAGAAAGTTTGGTCGTTCCTGGTAATCATCAGAAAATTATCCATCAAAACTGTGTATTTGCAGTTAGCAGTTCAATATGTAAACAACAGGATTTTATTGCTGATAATAATTGCAAATAATACATAATTCAAACATAAAACATTCATGTTAATTAACAGTGAGGCAGACCCAAATATTCTGGGAATTAGGAGTGTTAGTGGAAGCCACACTAACACTGGGAAAACTATTTAAAGATCACATGCCACCGATTTTAATCATATAAACAAAATCAAATTAAACTGCCGTCCTATTCTGGCATTGAATCCAATTCATTGCTATCCTATATGGAATCTCTGAGGCTCTACAGCTTTATGGGGCCAGAAATCTTTCTTTCTCCTGAGGAACAGCTGTAGAGTCCCGAGAGCTTACCTGGTGATGAGCTTCCAAAATGGAACCAACGATGCCAGATGCCACCAGAAGTGTATTCGGTAAACATGCAAGAAATTATTATCATCTAAATTTGATTATGCTTCATCTAGCAAACACTGTAAAGAAGCCTGGCAGTAGGTGAGTTGCAATATAGCTCGAGACCGAATCGAAAGAGAGAATGGCCTTAACTGGTCAAAATCTCTTCATCTGTCAACATTTACAAAGATAGGTCACTACACTTCTGCTCTGGCTTATAAGACTCACCAAAGGCCATTGGAGAGTCCAGTGCAATGAGAAAGCCCCTCACTTAACATGACTTAATTTCACATTCTCTCTTCCTGTCTCTGTAGCACCATTCATTTTCCACAGGTTTTTGACAGCAAAATTGGAAATATTCTAGAGAAATTTTGATGATATTGTGGAGATAAAGTCTAGCATATTTATAAACAACTATGTGGTATTATAATGCATGTATGCTCAAAACCCTACTGAACCTATATTATATCTGTGTTTTATGTGGTTTCATATGGTTCCTCCGATTTTGGTGGTAGTATCATCCTATAGATCATTGTAGCTAGAACAAGATGTGATCATTATTGTATATATTTTAGTATTAAAAAGAGTCTCCATTGAGTCTAAATATATTTTAATTTGTTAACAAATGCAATGTGAAATCTAAGACCAATCATTTTGTTTCTTCCCAGAAGGCATCATTGGACTAAATGGGCCAACAGAATCTAACAGTGCCGACTGAATTCATTCTCATAGGAGTAACACAGAGACATGAATTGCATCTCCCACTCTTTGGTATTTTCCTCATCATCTACCTGATCACAGTTGTGGGCAACCTGGGCATGATCATCTTGACCAAGGTGGACTCCCGCCTACATACACCAATGTATTTTTTTATCAGACACCTGGCTGTCATTGATCTTGGTAACTCTACTGTTATTTATCCTAAAATGCTAGTCAATTTCATTTTGGATCGAAATACTATTTCCTATTATGAATGTGCCATACAGATGGCTTTCTATGTTTTATTCATTATCACTGAACTCTATGTTCTGGCAGTCATGGGCTATGACCGTTATGTGGCCATCTGTAACCCTCTACTCTATAATGTGATCATGTCGCAGACACTGTGCCATGTACTCATAGGCATTCCATACCTCTTCTGTACATTCCAGTCCCTTTTGCTCACCAGTAAGATTTTTACATCGACTTTCTGCGGTTCTAATGTCGTCAGTGACTTCTTCTGTGATAATGTCCCTTTAATACCCTTGCTCTGCTCAAATGCACGGCAAATTGAATTGATGATTATATCATTTGCATCATTTAATTTGATGTCCTCCCTCCTGACAGTCCTTGTGTCCTACATGATGATCTTGATGACCATATTTCGAATGAATTCTGCTGAAGGAAGGAAAAAAGCTTTCTCTACATGTGGTTCTCACTTGACAGTGGTGGTAGTGTTCTATGGGTCTCTATTGTTCATGTATGTGCAGCCTGAATCTGCTCATCCTTTCAGCACTGACAAAATTACCTCTGTGTTTTACACATTAGTCATCCCTATGCTTAACCCCTTCATATACAGCTTAAGAAACAAAGAGGTTAAAAATGCCTTCTACAGGATCTTTAAGAACCCCTGTAAACTTTGTATTTAATATAAAATATTACTCAAATAACCTATAAAGTAGGTCACTGCTGCTTAATGAGGATCATATTTCTAATCGATATAATGGTATTTTCTGCAATATAGGATCATTCTGAGTCCAAATCAACTGCATGTAATCATAGAAGAACAGAGAATGATAAAGTACATAGACATCTATTGTTTCCCTTTGACTCACTTATATCCATATTAGTCATCCTATTTTCACCTTAAGTTAAATATCATGTCCTGCTCAAGATTTCTCGTTTCTAGTAAAGTGTAACTGTAAGTGATTCCATGGGAGCTCATTATAGTCCCTTTGAACACTTATTAGATACCATAATTTGAAATTATGTATTAAAGTATGTCAGTGTTAGTATGGTAAAGGATCTTATGGATTTTGTTTTCATTGCATTTTCTGAACATAAATAACAATGCAGTTAAAGTATCTTTGTTCACACCATGGATGATTTATTCGTGTTCTTGGGGGTTATTTTTGACAAAAAAATCCTAGTAATCTTCCAGTAAGCAAATATAAAAAGTGTTTATTTTAATATGTTGTTGTTAGAGGCGATTCAGTTGGGTCTGATCCATAGTGATCATACGCACACGGGAACCGAATTCTGCATGGTCCTGTATCATCCTCACAATCATTTTCTTTCCCAAGCCCATTGGTGGAGTCACTGAGCTTTCCTCTTTTTTGCCACCTCTCTAATTTAGAAAGCATGATGTCCTTCTCCAGGGACTGGTCTCTCCTGACAATATGTCCAAAGTATGCAGGACAAAGTCTTTCCATCCTTGCCGCAAAGGAGCACTCTGGCCCTGCTTCTTCAAGATTGATGGATTTGTCCTTTTACCAGTCCATGATAATTTCAATATTCTTCTCCAGCACTACAACTCAAATACATGAACTCTTCTTCTGTCTTCCTTATGCAGTGTCCAAGTTTTACATGCAAATGAGACAATGGAAAATACCACCGTTTGGATCAAGCACACATTATTCCTCAAAGTAACCTCCTTGCTTTTCAATACTCTAAAGAGGTCTTGTGCAGTGGATTTACTTAATGCAACACATCTTTTGATCTCTTGACTGCTGCTTCCAAGAGAATTGATTGGGTAGAGAAGCAAGACAAAATCCTTCAGAGCTTTAACTTTTTCTCCATTTATCATGATCTATCCTATTTGCCCAATTGTGAAGATTTTGGTCTTACTTATATTGAATTTCAATGTAAGGATTTTAAAATAGTAGCACTTAATTTTATTCATTTCCTCTTTACAGACTTAGTGTTGTCCTTAAATATCTAGATTTTTGTGCTGAATATATTGATTCGATCCAAATGCATATCCAGTAAACATAAAGTGATACTAGTTTAAAAAAACTTAATAAAATGATTTATTGGAAAGGATAAATGATGTATTATTGGTAATAAAGTAATAGAAAACATCACGGTGAAAAAATTTCAAGAACCAGAAGAAAATATTGATACATTTTCCAACTTACATCATCAATTAACTTGGAAAGAGTTCTATTGGTAAAGAAGGAAGAACAATATGTCAACAAGAAACGTCATTTGTGATAAAATATTTAGTTTTAACACTTTCCAAAATTATGAAGACAAGGAGATGTGGGAATCTGCCTGCCAGAGAATAACCATAGGAACAAAGAGAATCTGTGCTCCTTGGAACTCAGAAAAACAACTTAAAAACTAAGTACACCAAAATCTCTTAAACTCAGATATCAGCACCCCCAGCTGTTTATAACTCTCCTTTATCATTGGCCAGTGGCCTGAACTGCTTCAGGACCCTCCTCTGCACTGAAAAATTATTATCTTCTCCCATTTCCGTTCACCCAGCCAAACCTCTCACCTTGCTGGTATCTGGGAACCCTACACGGATAGCAGACTTCCTGGGCTGATTGACCCAGACATCCATTGCACCCAACAATATTATTTGCTATCATTAAATTGGGTTTTTTTTCTTACTTCCAAGCTCTGTAATTACTGAAGTACATTTTAGAGTGAGAGTGAAGCTTTTGAGAGACATTTTGTTTTGGCATGGTGGTTTCAGTGGAATAAAATCATGTTAATTTTTAAAAGTCATTGAAAAGATAATAAAAGTAAGAATTCTGGTCATATTGAGCCCAACTTATTACAACCTTGTGTGTCAGAATTAAACTGTTCTCAACAATATTTTCAGGTGATTTTATTTTTAGAAGTTTTCCCAGATGCCTCTAAATAGACTTTATATCTTCCGCCCCAGCCCACCCTCAGCCAGCAGTGAGCAAATTAACTATTTGCAACATTCAAGGACTTCTGCAAAGAAACTTAGAAGGCGTCATTTTATCCACTTATTAATTTTATTTTCAAGGAAACTCAGAGTGTGAACAAATATTATTAATTTAAATGCCAATACATTAATTTCCTGCTTCTGGATTAAATACATTTCTAATGTTTTTGTCTAGGAAATAGTAAACCCTGTGTCTATTTTCCCCACTGTATATTTTCCAAAAGCAGATAGAAAGTGACTGAACAAAATTTCATAGTTGTTACTGATTTTATTCTTTTGGGACTGACAGATCAAACTCCTTTGCAACTTGTGCTTTATGTATTATTTTGGGTGCTTATATCATTACCTTTGTGGAGAATCTGTGCATGAAATTTTTAATCTGCATCACTCCCAAACTCCACATACCCATACATATTTTCCTCAGAATCCTCTCTCTCATTTTTTAACTTTTATTTTTATTAAACTCCTACTGATAATGGAATTATCTCCAAGCTTTTTTTGTTACTAAAGGGAAAAAAGCAAGGTAAAGAAAAAGTATTTGTCTGGGCATCCATAGAATAACTATAGAAAAAAATTATTAACAGCATAGTAACCTAGTTTAGCATGTGGGACTCCATTTTGCTTTAAACTGCCTTCAACCCCTGTTAGCAGCTAGCCTCCCCCTCTCCTTCCTTCCCCAACCCTACTCTCCTGACAGCCCTTGGCTCTCCTGAAATGTCTTTGGGCTCTGCCTGCCCAACTTGCAAGAAATGTAAACTATCTTGTTGGACCTTGAGTTATTACCTGTCGCTCTGCTGTTCCCCAGCCCTTTTCACCCTGCCAACCTGACAGGAATGCATCTACGTGAATATCCCTCTTCTTAAGCCAGCCCACTCCTTGGAACTATTAAAATCCTGGAATGTCTATGTCCCGTATGAAGAGTGTTTCAGGGTGATAGCACACTCCTGATCCAGGAGTTTAATAAAGGCTTTAATTAGTAATGAAAAGGTGTGGCTGATCTTGCCCAGTACAATAATCCTCTCTTGAGAGGATAATTGGGGGTGGGCAGAGGAGGGAGAATTTTCATCTTTTGTACTTTAATTTTGAGCAATGAAATTTTTCACTATTAAAAACATTTAGAATTTCATTCATAGTACAGTGTATCTCGAGGCATTATGTCAATGGAGGTCACTCTCTTAAAGCTGTGTTTTATACTTTCCGGTTGTCAGTATATGAAACCCAGGATTGATGAACCTATAGAGATAGCAAATAGAGTTACATGTTTAGGGGGGTGGTGGATAAGCAAAAGTGGGGAGCGTAAAAGGGAAACAATGTCAGAAACCCATGTATAAAAAGAATGGTTGGACACTGATTGTGGTAGAAATTATACACGTCTACTTTAATGATTGAAAATGCAAATGATATATTATATGCATTAAATCCCAACATAAAACAAAGAAGTGGCTGAAATTCCATTCCCTCTGGGAAGCAAAAAACAAAACAAAACAAAAAAATAACCAAAACAGAGAGAGAATTGAACTAGAAAATTTCAGGTTTAGAGACATTTTGGGAAACCAGACACTGGAGAAAATCAATGTTGAAGA